AGTGTTAAATCTACCTGATGTTCATTGAATGGTGGTACCATTTTAACATGACGACTAATGTTAAATTTCAGTGATAATTTTATGCTAGAACTCTCTTGATTCTTTAATTTCGAGTCTGATCCTTTCTTCCTTTTCAATTTCTAACTTTCTTACTTCCATTTCCTTTTCTAAGCTCGATAATTCTAATTTTCTTTGCCATTCCAGTTCTTTTAACTTCACATCATGTTCGAAACATCTGGATGCAGGATCGTCTTTTTTCAATGATAGAATCCCAACACACTCTCCTCCATTGTTTCATATTGCCTCCCCCAGTGGCACAGCGGTATGTCTGCGGACATACAACGCTAGAAACCGGGTTTCGATACCCGTGGTGGGCAGAGCACAGATAGCCCTTGTGTAGCTTTGTGCATAACTAAAAACAAACAAACACTGTTTCATCTACGAGTCTGTCCACAATCAAGAATCTAAGCTCCTCTTTTTTTTTGACTGTTTACAATCTATTTCTAATTGTTCACACGCTCGGTCTTTTTTCATAGACTCAAGAACTTCCCTTGGACGTTTTTCTAATTTCAACCATTAAGTGACCCTTCCCATATTTGTTGCCTGGAAATAATTACACTCAACTGAAACAATTTTTTAGAACAATCCCGGACGAGCCCCCCAATTCGCCGACGCTCGTAATGATACGTATTGCTAACACAAGCATCAGGTGACGTTTAATAAATATACAAAATGTATACATAAAACTAACACCGAAACAACATCTTACACGATCTTTTCACCACAACCAACAAACTTTGAATTTCTAACCCATAGATATATATATATACAAAGGTGCAATATGCGCCTCACTTAGGTATTGCTAAATGGTGATTGGCCAATTACAGTAAAAAAAACAAATTCACATTACTAAGATGAAATGGGGGTAAGGAAGCAAATCGTTTATATATGTAACATTACTAAGTTATAAGGGGGGTTAGGAAGCCAAAAACACGTAACACGGTACCCGAAAAACATTTCTGTATGCTAGAAATATATTGAAAACAGCTGTTTTTGAATAGTAGCTGAGAATAGTTTATCAACATTGTTAGCTAGATATATTATTAAAAAAGTACTATCATATTAATACTCCACTAGACTTGGTAAACATTCTGTTAGCTGGAGAAAACACTGTTTCAGAATAGTGGTCTAGAAAACTTTTGAACATTCTGTTAGTTAAAGATACTCTACAAACACCTTTTTTCAGAGCAGTAGTCAAAAAACGTTTTTCAACATTGTGTTAGTTGGAGATACGCTGAAAACAGTAGTTTTAGAACAGTGATCGAGAAGACTTTATCAAGCACTATTAGCAAGAGATACCTTGAAAACAGCTGATTCTGAATAGTTTGCGACAGGACTTTAGCAATGCTGTTACCTAGAGGTGTCCTGAAAACAATAGTTCAGAATTGGAGTCGAGATTTTATCAACACTGGTACTTAGAGATACCCTAAAAACTGGAGTTTCATAGCAGTGGCCGAGAAGACTTTATCAACCCTCTGTTAAATAGAGATACCCTGAAAACAGTATTTTCAGAATAGTGGTCGTTAAGACTTTATCAACACTTTTAGTTAGGGATACCCTAAAAACAACTGTTTTAGGGTAGTAGTCAAGAAGACTTTATCACCCCGGTAGCTAGATATATCCTGGAAACAGAAGTTTCAGAGTAATGGTCGAGAAGACTTTAGTAACACTTTGTTTAGGCATGCAACATCGATGTTAGACTGTCCTTGACGTATGGTAACCATACCCTATACCGAAGTGAAACACGAACTGTAAAAAGAGGTAAAACGACATTTATGTAAAGTTATTTTATAATCATATACCGATTGATCAATAATTTGTATTTCACATATCAGATGTCTGATTTGCATAAATATAAAACGAGGTGATTGGATGATTAACATTATTTATTTTTTTGTTGACTTAGCAACAGTAGAAAAAAAATTTTAATTAATTTTAATGTAAATTTATCATTATCACCGTTTCTTTTCGAACTTCCACTTACTTTCCATAACAATCTGAACGTTCTTCTTTCCTGTCGTACTAGAGTGAGGTTTTAGTTGGTTCTGATAATCTCTGTGTAGAATAACAGTGTCTGGGTCTGCGCTGGCAGATACAACAGTCTGAAACAACGATCATTAATTCAAATCTCAAAATTAACGCTGTCAGAGTACATTGTTATGTATATTTTTATATTTAAAAAATACAGTTGCGTAATATCAGTAAATTGTTTTAACTTTTTTTGTGTATTTTGAGCTCTGAAAATTGTATGCAAAAAATACAGCAAACTTAATACATTTACATTTCTACGTTTTTCGTAACCTTTAACCTCTTCCACGTGATCTGCTACGTGGTTAATTAAGTTACCTCACCAAGGCCATAATTAGCTGTGATTGTGATAAAGCTCGGATTGGTCGTGACCGGATCGCAAGTAAACATAACACCGGCGACTTCAGAAGGAACCATTTCTTGGATGACCACAGCCATTGGTAAATTCAAATTCTGTCCATTTCTCCTGCACAAAAGAAAAAAATAATATTCAAGAAAAAAAAATTGTAAAATAAATTTAGGTTTATTTCCGTATTATAATTGATGTTATTGTGATAAATCTAGATTTCTGTCAGCACAATTGATGCAAACTATTTAACTATTTGAATTGTATTCAAGACACTTCTGTACAATATCCATAATTTTGAACAAACAGCGATGGAATTAAGCAATAAATCATGATACGATGAACACAATTTCCAATTAACTTTGAACAGACATTGAGGGAGCTATGCAGTGAGGCGTATAATGATGAACAAACTTTACTATAAATTTTAAACAACGATACATCTATGCAGTGAAGCATATAATGATGTACACACTCTACACTACAGTCACCTTTGAGCAAATAACAACGATACTATCCAGTAAAGAACACAACGATGTACACACTTTCCAGTTTCATTTGCAGTGTGGTAATTTTCAGTGTTTTCCATCTTATTTGAAAATGATTGATATTGTGAACAAGGAAGTATAACTTGTAATATGCTTTAAAACACGGCTGTCACACGTTAAGAAAGTGTGCACATCATTGATTATAGTCAATTGGTCAAGGTTAAGTATTTAACAACTACTTAATTAATGAACGAACGATAGTTAAATAACTATTAGGCCTAGTATGAGCTAAGCCTTCTTGTTTTCTAATACAGTTTCTACGATATATTTCCTAAGATACATTTAAAATTCAAACATTATGACTTAACGTATGAAAAGGAAATTATAGAATATTGTAAAGTAGCATGTTACCTTAGTAGAAATATTACCTTTTGTATTCTGTAGCTACAAACGTAAACTGTGACGCCCAACATTTAACGACAGTCTTCAAGACCTGGAGCGTAAAATCATTATAACAATAATAATTAACAGTCGTTTTATGTTATATAAAAATTATATGAATTTTCAGCTACTACTTGTGGTTAAATAGTAAATGTTTTATACTGGTAAATTTACTCATAATACACTAAATAACTATGTTATTTATTACTGCACAACACATAGTTCACCAAACCCAAATTAAAGTTTAATAAGATGTTATTCTTAATTAAATACTGATTACAATCCGGAAAAAATGTATGCAAATTTATTCTAGTGTAAAACCTTTTCAGTTAAACTTTGAGCCACTTTTCATTTACGTTTTTGCCCAAATGTACTAAAGTTTAACTTCAGTTTCGAGACAATTTATGAGCACGCAGTAATTTCTTTAAATAAATTGGATGAAAATAAACAACTGTTTTATTTTGTATCTAAAGTTTATGGAAAAACATTCCTCAAAGCATTTCATAGAGAAATAACAATTTATAGTAATAATGACGATAGACGTGATGATGGTAAACGAACTGAGGCCTCAAACCAACAACAATCGCAAGTTATCTGTCAATTAATAAAATTATTTCACCTCAAATTACCTGCAAATGTATTTAGTTTAGACGTTTCTGACTCTTCTCCAATAACCAACTTCAAATGAACCTTACTCAATTCACTTCTGCGTTTTAATTGGATATATCGTATATGTAACAGTTACTTGTTTCTCTCTAAACAACTTTCCACAGTCAACAGTTGCATTTAAAAATAGTTCATGTAGCAAGTTACAAAACTAGAGCCGCTAACAATTCATTTTAGGAGTATATTTTCTGTACAGTTTATTTAATGGTGACTTTTACTTAAAAATGGGCTGTAGATTTCATCTAGTGTTAACGCTTGCTTGACAATGGACTTTATTTAAGTTCAGATATATTTATCGGTGAAGTTTACTTGACAGTAGACTTTATTTCAGTTTCGATCATATTTAATGGCGACTTTTACTAGACAGTGGATTATTATTAGGCGACGATATTTATATAGAAATTCACTACAGTACTGCTATTGGACATCAAAGTTTCTTCGTTAATTGGAGTGTGCAAACAATCTAATTCTCAAGTAACTAACATACCTCGTCGATTTCTCCAACTCCAAGAAAAGTTTCCATTTGGCCAGCAGCAGACATTTCTTCTGAATCTTCACCTAAAATAATAATTTGTGTGCACAAAATATCGCTACCTTGCAAACGATTCGCTTTCTTCAAGAGTTTAGGATTACTTTATGAAATGTTATTGATTTCCGTATAAGACATGTTTAATAAACAGCACGTATGGCATTTGGTATAAGACATGTTTAATAAACAGAACGTAGGCATTGCTAAACAAATGAACAACATTGTTGAAAAGAAATCTCCATGTTTATTTTAGCTCTAACATACCTAATGTATGTCTCCATGTTTATTTTAGCCCTAACATAATTAATGTGTGTTTTTATTACGCATATTCTATGCATTTCTACATGTTTCTGTTGGCACATATTAAGTGTGTTTTCCATTTCATGTACCTATGCATTTTTTGTGTTTCTTTTCACATAAACACCGTATATGTGTGTGTGTGTTTTCTGTCTCACTTATAGAGTTTAATATGCCTCCATGCATACATATTCGTTACATACCCGAAGCAGAAGACCTGACTGCAAACTTCATGTTTGTCATGCCACTTCCAAACATTTCCATGAGCTTCTTCTTCACGGCCATGGAAACATCTGATGGCAAGGGTGATTGTCTAATGAGGTCTACTGTCCTAGATTGAATATATATAATACAGAAATCTTAAAGGAAACAGTTAAGACATTTTTTCTCAATATATATATATATATATAGGTCATTCACAATTTTATGCATAATTTTAATGCCCCATAAAAAAACATTTTTCTAACTAATTAGCGTAGGAAGATTGGTTTCAAAATTTAAACAGTCATTTACTTTAATTGTTATAAAAAGACTCGTGTCTAATAATTTAGATACTTTTTTTTACTTTATTAATACAGATAAGAGTCTAGACGATCGAGTACGTTATTATCATATAAAGATAGGTATCTACGAATGTAGACGATCGTGTACTTTATTTTTACTGTAAAATAATTTTCCAACACTCTATAGATGCTTAATTGTTGAGGTAAAATTACGGTTAAGC